ATTTCACATCCAGTGAAAGCACCTTTTTCATTAATCGTAAAGGTTCCTTCACTGGATGTGAACTCCATTAGACCATGACTATTTCACATCCAGTGAAAGCACCTTTTTCATTAATCGTAAAGGTTCCTTCACTGGATGTGAACTCCATTAGACCATGACTATTTCACATCCGTTGAAAGGACCTTTTTCATTAATCGTAAAGGTCCTTTCGCTGGATGTGAACGGCTCCATTTGACCATGACTATTTCACATCCAGCGAAAGGACATTTTCTACTGATCTTTTGATTACTAATTAGTTTTTTTTACCTACTATAGAAAACGAAAGGACATCTTTTTTAATTAAAACGCTTTCTTTTCAGAATCGAAAAATGATATGTTTTGGTCCGAAAAGCAAAAGGAAAAAAAAGTTAAAATTTAGGAGAGTTGATGGGGAGTTTAAATGTCCTTTATAATAACTGGAAGTGAAATTTCCAATTTTTCAAGCAAGGGACACATATATCTTGAAAAATTGCGAATTAATTGCCCACGAGTTTTCAGTTTTCGACAACTGTCGTGACGTATAATAAAATGGATTTTTATTGATTTAAACTTATGTAGATCCCCCCCCCACCTCGTAGTGATCATGTTCGTGTGTACAAATACTAAATATATAGACTTTTGGTTTATTAATTTGCTGTCATTTTCCCCCTTTTTGTTTGGTATTAATAGCCTGCTTTGCAGACTCGATCTTTTTACGCTTGTTTTATATTAGAAAAATATTATTATTTTATTAGAAAATTCTTTTACTTCAGCTGTCAACATTTTTAATCAGTGGACCTGATGCCCTACAAGAAATTAGCCCTACCCTTGAAAAATACAGTTTATTTGATCTGAATTTTCTAGCTTGAATAATTGCCTTCATGTAATGTCAATGGCAGGTATATTTTAGCCTCGAGCGTTCTGTCTTTTGTCTGTCATGGACTTGACAGAGAAAAGACCAGATGCACTCAGGCTAGTGAATTTATAGGTTTTTTTTCATTACAGTTTTGTTTAATGGAGTATGCGTGGAAACTAATTACTTCCAATTCCAATAAAAAGAAATGAAGTCAAATATTCGATTAAGTTTCATTGCCTGACCGGAATATGTAATTCGCATCAGTGAACACTTGTTTCCAGACGAATTAACGATTTTTACAAAATACTGGCTGTCACCCGTCATCTCATTTTAGGTTTGACATTGAAGTTTTTACTTTTTTACTATTTTACTTTAACAGTCCCGGAAGCTCTTGATTCCTCAAGGGTTAAGTTTCCTGTGAACTTACGAAGAATAAAATATGTTTTAAGCGAAAGAAAGAAGTAGAAAGAGGAAAACCTAAACAGAAAAGAATAAAAAAAAGGGGAAAAAAAAAAGAAAG